TAGGTCTTTTGCAAATATTTTGTCTCAGCTGTGGCTTATCCCTTCATTCTCTTTACACTGTTTTTTCAGAGCTGAGGCTTTTAATTTTAATAGAAATGAATAGCAGCTGTTTTCTTTTTGGATTAAAGTTTTGGTGTCGCATATAATCACCAAATCCAATGTCATGTAGATATTCTTCCATCTTTTTTCTGTAAGTTTGATGTTTTTGCTTTTTATATTTAGGTCTGTGACTCATTTGGAGTTAATTTTTATGTGCTTAATTTCAGTCTTTTGTGTATGGGAATTCAAGTATTTCAGCACCATCTGTTGGAAACACTATCCTTTCTCCACTGGAATGCCTTTGTGCCTTTGTCAAGAAGCAAGTTGACATTTGTATGTGTCTCTTTCTGGGCTCTTTATTCTGTGCTGTTGGTCTGTATTCCATTGGTCAATACCATGCTGTCTCGACCACTGTAGCTTTATAGTAGAACTTCAAATAGGATAATAGTAGTCATCCAACTTTGGTCTTCAGTGTTCTATTGGATAGTCTAGGTCTTTGCCTTTTCACATAAATTTTAGAATCAATTTGTTGACAGCTACAAAATAGCTTGCTGTGGTTTCGGCTGGTATTCTCTCAAATCCATTGATCAATTTTGGAGGAATTAATATCTTTCTTATAAGATTTTATTTATTTGTCAAAGAGAGACAGAGAGAAAGAGACTGAGAGTGCAGCAGGCAGAGGGAGAAGCAGGCTCCCTACTGAGCAGAGAGCCCAATGCAGAACTCGATGCCAGGACTCTGAGATCGTGACCTGAGCTAACGGCAGACACTTAACTGACTGAGCCACCCAGGCGCATCCCTGGAAAAATTAATATCTTAATGATACCAAGTCTTCCAGCATGAACATGAAATAGTTCTCTGTTTATTTTACTTTGGCTTTGTTGTCTCTCCTCAGTGTTTTGCATTTTCTGCATATGTGTCTTGTACATACTTGTTTAATCTGAGAATTACAACAAACGTCTCCAAGAGCCAAACAAAAATGGATTAGGGATTGTCCTGCTTTCCTTTGCATCCAGCTTTTTATGGTCCCACTTTTGAAAGATGTATCTGCATTTGAAATAGTTCGTGTTTTAGTGCTATTTAGAAAATGCTGTGCATTCATAAGAATGAGAAGCAACCTTTAGTGTCAGGGATTCAAGATTGGTGGAAAGAATGCTGAGCTAGAGAGTGAGTGTCCCAGAAATAGGCTGTAGACATTGACCTACAAATAAGAGATACCTGGCAAGGCAGGATTTTGTAGGTTTTTTTTTTTTTCCTTTCCCAAGAACTAAAAATCCTAATTTGTTTTTTTCAAATGTGAAATATCCCTATTTTTAAATTTTGGTGATTAGTTAAAACAAACAAACACTGTCAATCCAACTCAGGGGGACAAACACAGTGAATTTGGTGACTATATGAATTCCATAGGCCACCAGTTTGTGTCTCTTAATGTTTATTAATGTTTATTAATAGGGAAACAGAGGCCCGAATAGGGCGGACTAAAGCATTTGCTCAGCAGTTCACAAGTAGTTAAAAATCAGACATATTCCTGATTTCCAGATGACAGTTTGTTTTTTTTCCCATTATCCTAGGCTTTTACCTGGGTAGGTATGCCAATTGTCTTCTGTGTAGTGGGAACGTCTTTGAGCTTTAAGCTCACCAGCTAAAATGTAATTTTAATAACTAGTATATCAGTCATTTATTGCTTTATAACCTATTGCCATAAACTGAGCACCTTCACACAACTCAACGTTTATTATCTCACTTTCTGTGGGTTGGGAATCTGGGGATGAATGAGCTCTGAGGGTCTCCCACTGGGCTCAGTCAAGGTGTTAGTCAGGTGGGGGTCTCATGTGATCCCTGCATTACCGGGCTGGGAGGGCTCTGTTTCATGGGTCATGTGGTTGCTGGCAGGATTCCATTCCTTGTGGGCTCTTGGACTGAGGGGCTTACCTCCTTGGCTGAAGGCTGCTCTCTTTTCATCATGGCGGCCACTCCAGAAGGCAGCTAATTTAATCGAAGCCAGGAATGGAGAGAGTCAATGGAGAAACTCTTCTAGGAGGAAGTATTATAAGCTTAGGTAACAGAATCAAGAAAGTGACTTCTCATCAACTTGGTCTTATCCTTTTGCCTAGCCACAAGTCATAGGCCCTGCCAACACTCCGGGAAACAGGGGTGGGTATTACACAAGAATATGAATACCCAGGCATGGGGATTATGGGGGCCATCCTAGAGTCTTTCCACCACAACTAGTTTCAGAAATGATTATATCCCTTCTCCAGGCATGCACAGCTTTTCTGTCTTAGCCAGAGGGCCCTAATGGCCCCAGAGCATATGATCAAAGGAACGCAAGGGGGTAGGGCCTAGGGAGGAACCAGGATTTGTGATTAGACTTGCACATGCATGTAGAGCAAAGGCTCTTAGGTAGAAGGGTTTGAGTAACAGACAGTCAACTGAAAACCATCCAGGGTGTCCAAAAATGGGTCTGTTTTATGCCCCAGTAGGAACAGAGGACAAAGATATAGAATCCAGGCCGATGAAGCAGATGTTCACCAGCTGGGGCCTGTCAGCAGGTGGCAGGTGTCTATCGAGGCATAGGGGATCTCTAGCAGGCCTTCAGTTTCCGGGAGGAACTTGCAAGAACACAAGCAAGGAGCCAATACGCGACAGGATCACACAATAAAAACATAGATCCAAGGAGTAGCCACTGTGCACAAATAATTAGAACTGGGGCAAAAATTGTAAGAGAGGTCTTGGACCAAGAAACTGATCTCAGGCCTCGACTGCAAGGTCATGACCTGGTCAGGTGAATCCCAGAGCAGTTAAGGTTCTGAACTTGCATTTCTCTTGCCTTTGGACAGGAAGGAAGCTAGGGACTGAGATGGAGTGAAATCTGCAGCTCTGAGGGGAGGGGGCCCTTGCAACAGAAAACGTTGTAGGATCTTTTTCAGGTGACTCCTCTAAGGCCTCCGGGAACATGGCAAAGAAGTGGCTTCCCGTCCAGCTTGCTTTTTAACCCCCTCTCTTTGGCACACTAACTCCAGGGCCCCATGAAACACATTTCCCTTCAGCTCCCAAGGGCATTTTTAATTTTTTATTTTTTTCTAAAGATTTTATTTATTTGGCAGAGATCACAAGTAGGCAGAGAGGCAGGCAGAGAGAGAGAGGAAGGGAAGCAGACTCCCCGCTAAGTGGAGAGCCTTATGCGGGGCTCGATCCAGGGACCCTAATATCATGACCTGAGCTGAAGGCAGAGGCTTTAATCCACTGAGCCACCCAGGCGCCCCAAGGGCATTTTTATTTTAAGCTTCCTTTCCAATCATGACATAAGAGGGCTCCTGTCTGAGGATTCGAATTTCAAATATCCCCGGAGAGGGAGAAGTTACATAGGAAAGTGATATTGTGTATCTCTTTCTTTCTGGATCCTACCTACGGCTAGTTACTTGTCCTTCAAGGAAAGGTCATCTGTCCATCTGAACCATTGTTTGTGGGGGATACCTATGGTGCTCTGATCCGTATTAGTGCTGGAATAAAACTGTGAGAAAAAAATGCATATTTTGCCTTCAAGATTGGTCTAGTGAAGGGTCAGACATACCAGTTATTCACCCACACTTGTGAATATTGGGCTTGAGTTAGGGCATAGAAAATGAAGAAGTGACTTCCTAAGCATGAGTCCTTACAGAAGAATGGCCGTGGTCATGAGCAACATTTTCTTCCGGGTTGAGGAGTTCATTGTTTTTCCTAAAACATCATTGGGATGAAAGGGATATACTTGAAATTAAAAGACCACTTTGGGGGCGCCTGGGTGGCTCATTTGGTTAAACAGCTGCCTTCAGCTCAGGTCATGATCTCAGGGTCCTGGGATTGAGACCCGTTTCGGGCTCCCTGCTCAGCAGCGTGTCTGCTTCTCGTCCTCTCTCTGCCCCTCCCCACCTCTCCCCACCCTTCCTCTCTCACTCTCTCTCTTTCAAATAAGTAAATCTTTATTTAAAAAAAAAAAGGCCATTTTGCCTACACAGTCCAGAATGGATTGAAGAGTGAGCAAGAGAAGGTTCAGGGAGAGCAGGAGGATGGATATTGCTGTAAAAGGTAATATAGTCTGGACTAGGGTGGTGCTCCTGGAAATACAGAAGGTAAATTTTAATGATACTTTTGGAAGTATAAGTCAGCAGGCCTGAGGCAGGCAGCCACTTTCTGGCTTGCACAGCTGGGTGGATGGCAGTTTGAGTCCCTGAAACAGATAAGGTTGGGGGAGACACATGTTTTAGGGAAGGAGAATTTAAGAGTAGATCAGGAGTCAAAATTTAGATTTGTGCATTTTAAGAGGTATTGGAAATATTCAAGGAGAATGTCAGGTGGGCATTGCCAGATAGTTCTAGAACACAGACTAAAAGGGTGAGCTATTGGTAATTCTGATAGTACTTGGATAATATCACCCAGAGAAAGGCATAGAATGAGAAGTAAAGGGGAATAACAAAAAGAAATAAAAGGACCCGAATGCCACCTATGCTTTAAAAAGTCTCCTGGGTCATGGCACCTGGGTGGCTCAGTTGGTTAGTGGCTGCCTTTAGCTGAGACCATGATCCTGGGGTCTTGGGATCGAGCCCCACATCTGGCTCCCTGCTCAGCAGGGAGTCTGCTTCTCCCTCTCTCTCTCTGCCAGCCGCTCCCCCTGCTTGTGCTCTCTCTCTCTCTAATAAATAAATAAAATCTTCAAAAACAGACTGGGTTCCGGGGGCTTTGGCAAAAACGCAACTGATCTAATTTGATTTTTTTTTTCTGCCCATTTTTTGTAGTGATTTTGGGCCCGAAACATTTCTCTGGGGATAATCTCTTAAGTATATAAACTGAGTAAATCTCTCCCAAAGGACTGTAGGTGTAAAGAGGATTTTTTATATTATGAGCCCAATTAAAAGATGAAAATTTAAATAAGCTCATGGGCGGAGAAACAGGAAATGTCTATATTGTGTTTTATTTTTCAGGCTGAATTAAAATAACTTCTGTAAAGATGAACAACACATGGAAGTGAGGCTGTATTACTTCAAAATCGGTAGGTCTGCCCAGGGTAAGGGTGTTTCTCTCCAACCCCTCAGTTCAGAGAAAATAATTCCTCCTGGTGGGTCATTGTTTTGCACCTGGAAACTTGAAAGGCAGAGATGAGTTGGTTAGCTTTAGTCTCAATTGTTTTATGTTTTGACATGAAATTCGGATAGGAGCATACCAAGGATGGAGAGGGAATCAGGATTCAGAGAGCAGAGAGGAACCTTATGAAACCGTGGGAAGCAGCTCTCCTTGGCACGTATTTTGTCTTATTTTATTTTTTATGATTTTACATTTTTTATTGATGTATGGTTGACATACAATGTTACATCAATTTCGGGTGTACAACAGAGAGATTCTGCAAGTCCATATATGTTATGCTGTGCTCAGTCGTCATTGACTATGTTCTCTATGCTGGACCTCTGATCCTCGTAACTTACTCATTCCATAACTGGAAGCCTGCATCTTCCACTCCCCTTCACCCATTTTGCCCAACCTCCACCCATTCTCCACTCTGGCAAGCCCCACCTGTTCTCTGTGTTTGTGGGTCTGTTTCTGCTTTGTTTTGTTTTTTAAATTTCACATACAAGTGAAACCATACAGTAATTGTCTTTCTCTGACTTATTTCACTTATTTCACTTGGCATAATACCCTCTAGGTCCATCCATGTTGTGGCAAATAGCAAGATCTCACTCTTTTTTATGGCTGCATAATATTTCTATATATATCCCACATTTTCTTTATCCATTTATCTATCATTGGGCACTGGGGTTGCTTCAATTTTCTTTATCCATTTATCTATCAATGGGCACTGGGGTTGTTTCCATATCTTGGCTCTTGTAAATAATCCTTCTATAAACAGAGGGGTGCGCATATCTTTTCAAATTGGAGTTTTTGTTTTCTTTGGGTAAATACCCAGTAGTGGAATTACTAGATTGTATGGTACTTCTCTTTTTAACTAATTTAACTAATTTCACTAATCGCTTAAAAGATTTTTTAAAACTTGAAAAAAGTTTTGCTTTCTCATCTTTAAAGATCTCTAAATAGGACTATTTTATTACCTTTACTTGGGAGATTTTCAGTCTAATCATTCTGGAGTTCTTATGTCGAGTCAAGTTCTTTCTGACAACACACTGAGACCATTCTGAAATCAGAATTACTGGCAGATGTCTAGAATCTTTCATATAACAATTATTCACATACGTGAGAACATTAATGAAGTCAGGCCTTAACCTCATCATCCAAGTTAAAATTACCAATGAAAGGAGCAGTTGCCATTACACAGTTAGTGTGGGGACGTTAGGAGAAGGAAGGGAAAAACGAAGGGGGAAGTCAGAGGAGGAGATGAACCATGACAGACTGTGGACTCCGGGAAACAGACTGAAGGTTTCAGAGGGGAGGGGGATGCGAGGATGGGTGAGACTGATGATGGGCATTAAGGAGGGCATGGATTGCATGGTGTTATGTGCAAACAAGGAATCATGGAACACTGCATCAGAAACTAATGATGGACTGTATGGTGATTAACATAACATAATAAATTATATAAAAAAGAAAAAAATAAAAGGTACTCTGGACAATTGGTGAGAATCACAACTAGCCCAAAAACCCCTTTTCCAAAGCTTGGATAAATATTTTTATTCTTCTAGTTTCTGTATTAACTGTTGAGATTAGAAGTAGATATGCAGGAGGATGGTTCTGTATGTGAAAAGCTAAATGAATGCAGATTCCTTTTGTTGCCTTAGACTACATTGGTAGAACTCATTTGCTCACTTAACAAATGCTTATCCAGTCCCCAGTCTGTGCCAGGCACTGTTAAAAGTTCTAGGGATATAGCTGAGAATGTAAAATAAAGAATTTCTTGGAAACATCACAGTTCCAAACTTCAAGCCCTATTACAAAGCTGAAGTAATCAAGACAGTGTGGTATTGGCACAAAAATAGACACATAGATTGGTAGAGCAGGATAGACAACCCAGAAATAAACCCACAACTATGTGGCCAGTTAACCTTCAACAAAGCAGGAAAAATACACAATGAGAAAAGGACAATCTCTTCAACAAATTGTGTCAGGAAAACTGGGCATCTCCATGCAAAAGAATGAAATTGAACCACTTTCTTATACCACACACAAAAATAAACTCAAAATGGATTAAGGATCTAAATGTGACACCTGAAACCATTAAAATCCTAGAAGAAAAACACTAGCAGCAACCTCTTCGACAACAGCCATAGCAACGTTTTTCTTGGTACGTTTCCTGAGGCAAGAGAAACAAAAGCAAAAATAATCTATTGGGACTCCATCAAAATAAAAAGCTTCTGGTGGTGGGTATTAAGGAGGGCATGTATTGCATGGAACACTGGGTGTGGTGCATAAACAATGAATTCTGAAACACTGAAAAGAAAGAAAATAAATAAAAAAAAAGCTTCTGTGCAGCAAAGAAAACTTTCAACAAAATTAAAAGGCAACATACTGAATGGGAGAAGTATTTGCAAATGATCTGATAATGGGTCAGGATCCAAAATACATAAAGAACTTCTGTAACTCAACATCAGAAAAAGATCCAATTAAAGAATGGGCAGAACACATGAAGAGACATTTTTCCAAAGAAGATATGCAGTTGCCCAACAGACACAAGAAAAGATGTTCACCATCACTCATCATCAGGGAAATGTAAATCAAAGCCACAATGAGATATCACCTCACACCTGTCAGAATGGCTAAAATCAATAACACAAGAAACAACAGGTGTTGGTGAGGATGTGGAGAAAAAGGAACACTTGTGCACTCTTGGGAGGAATGCAAACTGTTGCAGCCACTGTGGAAAACAGCATAGAGGGTCCTCAGAAAGTTAAAAGTAGAGCTACCCTACAATGTAGCAATCATACTACTGGATATATACCCAAAGAATACAGAAACTATCATTTGAAAGGATACATGCATCCCCATGTTTATGGCAGCATTATCTGTAATAGCCAAATTACAGAAGCAGCCCCAGTGTATGGAATGGGTAAAGACTTTATCCACACAATAGAATATTACTCAGTGATAAAAAGAGTGAAATCTTGCCATTTGCAATGTTATGAATGGATCTAGAGGTATAATGCTAGGCTAAATAAGCCAATCAGAGAAAGATATACCACATGATTTCACTCGTATGTGGAATTTAAGAAACAAAACAAATGAAAAAAGGGAAACAGACAAACCGAAAAACAGACTCTTAACTCTAGAGAACAAACTGATGGTTACCAGAGGTGGTGGGGTGGGGGATGGGTGAAACAGGTGATGGGGATTAAGGAGGGCCCTTGTGATGAGCACCTGCTATTTTTTTTTAAAGATTTTATTTATTTGACAGAGATCACAATTAGGCAGAGAAGCAGGCAGAGAGAGAGGAGGAAGCAGGCTCCCTCTGAATAGAGAGCCCGATGTGGGGCTCAATCCCAGGGCTCTGGGATCATGACCTGAGCCAAAGGCGGAGGCTTTAACCCACTGAGCCACCCAGGCGCCCCGAGCATCTGCTATTGTATGGAAGTGTTGAATCACTGTATTGTACACCCAAAACTAATATCACACTCTGTTAACTAACTGGAATTTAAATAAAAACTTGAAGGAAAAAAAAAATAACAGTTCTCCAAATATCATAAATTCAGGAAAAAGAAAACTAAAAGAAACTTTCCTCTCCTCATGGACCATGAATAAAATGGACTGAGGGTATGTATGATTCTGGAATCTAGGCAAGGAGGAGGAAGCCAAAACAGTGATCATGACAGTGCAACATACAGCAACCAAAAGATTTTGTGAGGTAGTTGGAACAATGAGATAACACTGTATACTGAGTAGCATGGCGAAAATCCACAGTACTGACAACAGCAAATGCTGGTGAGCATGTGGAGCAACAGGAACTCTTGTGCATTGCTGGTGGAAATCCAAATTGGTACAGGTACTTTGGAAGAGAGTTTGGCAGTTTCTTCCCAAACTAAACATACACTTACTGTGACAGCTAACAATCACATTTCTGATGTTTATCCAAAAGAACTGAAGTTTTAGTTCACACAAAAACCTGTACATAAATGTTTATCATCAGAATGGCCAAAATTAACAAGTCAGGAAACAACAGATGCTGGCGAGGATGTGGAGAAAGGGGAACCCTCCTACACTGTTGGTGGGAATGCAAGCTGGTGCAGCCACTCTGGAAAGCAGCATGGAGGTTCCTCAAAAAGTTGAAAATAGAGCTATCCTATGACTCAGTGATCGCACTACTGGGTATTTACCCCGAAGATACAAAGGTAATGATCTGAAGGGGCCCCTGCACCCCAATGTTTATAGTGGCAATGTCCATGATAGCCAAACTATGAAAAGAGCCCAGATGACCATCAACAGATGAATGGATAAAGAAAGTGTACTATATATACACAATGGAATATTACACAGCCATCAAAAAGGAAATCCTGCCTTTTGCAATGATGTGGATGGAACTGGAGGGAATTATGTGGAGCGAAATACATCAATCAGAGAAAGACAATACCATAAGATCTCACTGATGTGTTGAATTTAATAAACAAGGCAGAGGATCATAGGGGAAAAGGGAAAAAAATGAAACAAGATGAAATCAGAGAGGGAGACACACCATAAGAGACTCTTAAAGTTAGGAAACAGAGGGTTGCTCGAGGGGGGTGGGGGAGGGGGTGGAGTAATTGGGTGATGGACATGAAGGAGGGCATGTGATGTACTGAGCTCTGGGTGTTATATAAGACAGATGAATCACAGACCTGTACCCCTGAAACAAATAATACATTATATGTTAATTTTAAAAAATCACTCATACATTTAGCAGTTTAAAAAAATATTTATAACAGCTTTATACATATTTGCTAAAACTTAGAAGGAATTGGGATGTCCTTCAGTAGATGAATGAATACGTGAACAGTGGTGCATCCAGACCATGGAATATCATTCATTGCTAAAAAGAAATGCCCTATGAAGCCACGCAGATACACGGAAGAATGTTTC